CCACCCCAGACCCACTCGTTTGTCCTGACATCAGAGCGTGCCCAACCTCTTGACCCCGTTGATCAAGCAACACAAGAGAAGAAGCATGTCCAAATGGAAAACTCACCTCTAATCGGTCATCGCATCCTTTTGAAAAAAGATAAAAGACAGTGGTTCAAGACCATACAGGAAGAGGGTACTGCCTTCGACGAAAAAATACATAAGATTGTTAAATTACCTGCTTATTTCAGACTTCTTTTTAAATTTCTTTAATGTTATTGTTGATAAACGCTCTCTACGACAAATGTTTGTTACCGGTTTAACTTAATTTTCATTGACTTTGACGTAGTTGAGATTTGACTTCTTTGTTGTATAAGTCAATTTCAATTGAGAGACAAGAAGTTTTATGGATAAATTACCGCTCGTATGCCTGATTTGCGCGACCTGATAATGTAGGGATTGTTTGTTAAGTATTGACATCTTCCTATGATTGCATCTGTGCGAATGACAATTTTCCTGTATCTATGGAATAAGGATAGACCATCTCGAAAATCAGAGGAATTATTTGAATAATAAAAAAAATTTAATCATGCTAATCAATGCATAAAAGACTTTTTTATAATATTACATGAAGTTTTAAGAAAATAAAATATTTGTTAAAGGGTTAGGACAAAGTCTTTTAGATATTTATTATTCAGGCGTGTCACATATATTTGAAGTTATTGTAATATAGAAGTGTATAAAAAGTAAGAATATTGATATAGTAAATATTTTTTATTCTTAATCTTACAATAAAGTCCACCGATAAGGTAATTATAATATTATATAATATTAAAATATATCATTAACGTAATAACGGGAACAACAAAATAATCAATGCTATTCAGTGTGCCTAAATTATTTGAAATTATACATATATATAAACTTAGTGACGTTCCATTATTAGTCTCGACACTGCCAAGTTCACTTATTCAATCGCAAAAAATGCACAACTAGTCAGACGTGCATCATCGTTCATCGCATGCAACGAGTTCTCCCATCTCGGCCATTAAGAAAAGAGTCCCTAGATAGAACGTCGATATATAAGAAGTAGATAGTAGCTATCGAATCAGTCGATCGGGGATCTCGTTGCCTAGAGGGATTAGCATAAAATTCCGCAGTACACTTTTTCTCTTCCACTTACAAAGACTCGGACACCACATTCCAATGGGGAAAAGAATGAGGCACGTCTTTCCTAATTTTGCCAAGAATATCACGGTCGCATCGAATTAAAGTTCGAAGATATCGCGTGCGATCGATCTAGAGGCTGCTTGGTATTATGGGTAAGACTACGGCTACAAGGGCTCCCGCGGTGGCAACAGCGATCATATAGCAGGCCTCTTCTCGGAAACAAAGTCATTACTAAAGAAACACCGTGTACAATTCTCTTGTAATATAACTATAACGCACGTTCATTTATACCTACCTAAGTACAGAGGATCCTACATCATATCGAACAGTATTGCATTATTTGTATGGGAATGCGTACGCAACTACATGGAAGCTTTTCATTGGGTTACCTTGATGAGACAGAGTAGGAAAGAGAATCCCATTTATTTTTCTTCCAAGCACCAAACGAATTCATAAAAACAGATTTCTGATGTACAAAACAGTTTCTCGTATTGTACAAATTCAAGGAATATACAATTAAATGTAGATGAAGATGGAAAGTACGGAGTCTTAAACTTATATACGATGAAAATATTGCGTTATACGACCACCAGCCGCTACATCTGATTATGAGTGCACTGTAACGGAACAAGCCAAGGAATTCCGTGTGGTCCTGTGTGCTTAATCAAAGATACTTGACTTGCTTGGATCATATCGATCTTCTTGAAACGTATCTATTTCAATTGGTTATGTGCATTCGCACACAGGTCCAATATCTAGCTATGTATTTCTATGCACGTGCATTCTATCAGCGTTACCAATTTGGCTGGACGTCGTTTTTGTTAGACTTTTTGTTTGTACGTAAACTAGGATACATGCTCAGACATGTGATATGTTTACGGGCGCATGTAAAAAATATCGCTTTCATTGACGTTGATATGTCGATTTTGAAAAAAAGGTATCATGGAAAAGCTGATGCGCTTGGCACGTCAGACGGATTATTTTTGCGATCAAAGAAAACCTGCAATGCTAAAGACATACGTAAAGACATTTAGACGGGTGGCGTCAGAATTACGTTCGAAGGATCATCGAGAATAAATCAAGAGATCGATTGATATACCGATAGAGATAAATCGGTGGGGATAAGGGTACGATTAGCATAATCCGTTGTCGATACCAGGTGGATAATCGGCTGCGTGGATGGATAATGAGCGTGATCACTTTTGCCAACGTCGTGCCAACAAATTAAAAACATCGCGCTGACTCTGTCCTAGGGAGCGTCCATCGGCATCGGGTCCTTTGATATTGAGATCAGACTCGCTTGTGTGTCTTTGCCATCTCTCTTTATAGGCGCTACGCACGTGCACATTGAACTATCTCTGCGCGCTTAGCTATGCCCAGAGGAGAAATTGCGTGTAAGTACGATCATAAGAAAGCACCAAGCATACCGACCGTTATGCACCTTCATGATGCAAATAGATCGTCCTTGAATTCTAACATTATTTTAATAATCGATCCACGATGGCATTGCATATAGAGCTGATACATAAATTTAAATCTGCCGAAAATCCTCCTGCCGATCATATGAAATCAATGTTGCATACACAGTGATAAGGATAACTAATGCATCTGTACGTTATTACAGGTTTTTATGATCGTTACCCAAACTTTCATTTTCACAATTCTACGCCAATGGGTACAATGCATTTTTCATATTATAGTTTCCTGTGCATTCTACGCTAGCAGAACGCAGTCTCTGTCTCGGTACCCCCTGCAAATTTACAACCCTTCCGAAAGGAACCCCCTGCGAGACTGACCCACTGGGACTGGGTTGCAGGTGATACGGTGTCCAGTTGATGCTCGTGTGCATCACACACTTTTCGAATGACGCGTCTACATATGAGTGCGATGTCATCTGCTGACCGATCCGGTTCACGGTAGTACCGTGGGAAGATGCCACCGGTTATAACGATTAGAAATTGTCCAGTCGGTCCTCGAAAAATTGAGTGAGTTGCTGGGCAATAGTTTTCCTATGCAGAAGAAACAGTGAACACCTCTGGACAGTGGCTATCTTTATTTGTATACGGATGCTGGAGCAGTCTGTAGTCTCATCGGAATATACAATAATTCTATCTAGTATATAGGGTGGGTCATTTATCTTTATTGAATATAACATCAAGCACACGTACAGCATATAAATATCATTGTAAATCATAATGTGAAAGTAAATAAAATTTTACTTACCCTCGTCTTATGACTTTGAAAATATATCCTGTGATATAAATGATTTTGCATAAAAAAAAGTAATACATCAAACATGTTCGCATAAATATTTTAGAGAAACTTTATGTAGAAAAAATAATATTTCAAACAGAAAAATGTATATTGTCATTGTCAGTTTGTAAACATAAATATTTAATATTGGTTAAATAATTTCGAAAGATACGAAAGGTACGTAAGTCGGAGACACCATATATGAAAACCAGGCACAACCCCTTCAACACCTTACTGCGTGAGATTCGGCCGCCCCTGAGAAGTTATTGACCGAACCAGTTTCTCGAGCAGGAGACCAAGCGACGTCCTGGCACATGGACAACATTTTTCTCTACGTTACTATCTTCGCTGGGGGTCTCCTATAATTTCAATGCCTATGGGAAAATCTTCCTTGATTTTCAACCGCGGACACCTCGAGCAGCTGCAAGGAATTTTTATGTCTTAGCTCCATGCAAATAAGACCATACAGCGTTCAATTTATTAACTTGAAAAGTAGAAATCATCTGCTGCAACGCACGCACCAAAGTAAATAATTAATCGCTGACATAAATGAGATTCGTTCAAGAAAATAAAGCGCGAAACGATGGAAGCAGCACAGCGTTCTGATAGCATTACACAAACGTTACGCCATTTACGCAACGAGATTTCAACGCCCCTCTGACATTATTAATCCAAGCAATGCCGATCGTACAACACGTTCAATTTTATCTGCGATTTCTATTTCCGAAACTTTCCCATCGCCTTCTCTATACATGGTGATAAATCTATAGTCGTGTACGCGAAACCTGATAAAATCAAAGATCCCGCGGTGCTCTCATAATGGCATCGATAGATCGGATTCTTTAACGAGAGTCTCTCGCGTAATAACGAGAACGAATTCAGTTGTTTCTACGTTCAATTGCGCGATGCTGCTTCGGGCATACCTTTTGCACATCGTGCACAGTCAAAACAAATTCGTTTGACTGCTTGACTTTTAATTTTTCGTCCATTCCGCTTCGGAGCTAATGAAGATGTCACCGGTCGGCGTCGGAGCGACATCACGTTCACAGTGTCATGGCATACCCCCTGCAGTGTTGGGCACGCGATGCGATTTCTGTGCAGCGTGCTTGGCGCTTTAGTACTAAACGTGCGTCTGCAATTTATGGGGTGCGATAGTTGACACACCATCATGAACTCATCGTGTCGTACCGCCTTACCATATTCTGCCGCTGTGCTACTGTCTTTGCATAGAATCAATGATAAGACGAAGTAAAATTTGGACCTTAGTACTTTAGCATCATAGGAAAACATAAATAGGACTGCACGTGTCTTATATCTCAGCGAATGGACTTAAACCTACCCCCGTATTACCATATATGGGGAAATTGAATTGGCCTTTTAACTTGACCATTTTATGAGTGTGTGCGTAGACGTCGTATTTAAAAATAATATAACATGGAGTTGGTTCAGCAAATGAGGAACGACAGTATGATAAAGTGTAATTTAGATTATAAGTGTTTACAAAGAGGATATTTAACGATAGAGATCAAAATTTTTCGTATTACTTTTGCAGTTATCAGAATCTGTAACTGTAAACATATAAAAGTATAACGTATCTGTATTGGTCTTTGGAACGGTTGCGTTCATAAATGTTTCTCGTACATAATAAACTCAACGCTATCTGCTGATGATGAAATGAACATATTAACAATAGTCGTAATCTGATTTAATAATGGGGTACATCCTCTTACGAAGAGACGGAAATAAAAATAGCTGCTCATTTCGATGTCTTAAGATCTACACCGAAGGAGGGCATCGCATAGTACGTAGCTATAACAAGGATTCATTCACGAATGTGCATTCTTAGTGGACCCCTGCAGTTCGAGTATTTAAACATTATGAAAATAAGACAAGATTATGGGGTTGGAGCTAGAAAGGGTTGTAGCCCCAGCTTGCCGGCATTCCGAGTCCCTTTCTTCAAGTGTGGAAGGATTTACCCTCGATGCTTTGAAGGTTGACACTCTAAATATTTTCGTTGATCATATGTTTTGAAAAATTACTACGGTTCGTATTACGAAACTGAAGTACCTCGCCAATTCCAAAATATAGCACCTAATTATCTTCGGCTTCTCAATCGTCTTAAAGGCTCGAGATAAGCTGGTAGAAAAATCAACATCTTTACGTCTAATCTCTCCAGCTACGGCTTTGCAAATGACTTAAGCATGGCACCATGCAATTACTTGTACAGCACACGGTATAAATAGCTAACCGATGGCAAACCGATCAACGAGATCTAAGATAGATCTAACAGCTAGTCCAAGAAATACTAAATGCGAGCGCTCCTATCTCACAACGATACACGCGCAAATAGTGGCAAAGGCCTCAACAAACTCTGAAATAAACTTAATTCGCGACGACATAAATTTCCCGGCTGGCTATAATTCCCGAGTAATAAGTACATCTGTGAAAATGTAGAGTAATTATTCAAAGGCGTACTCGGTTATTAATTGGATTCAAACAGTGCGGATATACGTGTAGATAGACTCGCACGAGCATAGATATGCGCATAGTCTCTGCATAAACCAAATGGATGCATGCATGCGTAACCAACGAGCACACGTGAATTACCATTGCCATTAAGCTCCGCTTTGGGGATGAATACCGGTATTGCCGGTTCCCCGTAAAACTTCGAATTTTTCATTCACCTCGGGCTGTACGCACCTATATACGCACTACGATAAAATTTGTAAAGACCTACAATTGTACATTTACTTGACTGTAATGTCACTGTGTACATTGTGGCCGTGGAGTATGAGACGTAAAACAAACATACATTCTGTTCGTGTAGGTCCTATTCGTGCACTGATTCCGAAGCTAGAGCAACCAGTCGGCTGGTTATGAATCAGACCCCCAAAGGACTCACTGGACCCCTTAGTAGGATCCGAGAACCCTACAATGTCGCGATCAAGGGGCTTCGACGAAATGTCAGCAGACGCGTAAATTAATGTGTAATGTGTCGCGATAAAAGAGAAGGGACGACTAGGCGACTGGGCGACTGCGTCGACCCGGAAACCAGTATCCATGGCGTCCACTGGACCTGCCGACGATCTCCTTGTTCAAAAACTTTGTATTCTACTGCAACAGGACCCCTCGTTACTCCACCCTTCCTTTCACTATTTTTCGCTCTCGTATATTCGTCCTCTCTATATATTTTTCATCTATTACGATACCGAATTAATATAATATGAAATTATTAAAAGTGTTTAAATATTTGTCGCTTCTCCGATTGTGTATTGTTTTGACCATAGAAACAAAATTAAATTTATTATTTCAATACCTACACATCTAAAACTTATTTGATGTATTATTTAAGCTCAAACAAAATTGGCATAATACGTTATTTCTAAATAAGCTGACATGGAAAAATAATTATGATATAAATAAAATACATCAAGTTTATATAAGACGTTTGGAATTATTGCAGGATAACATTTATACTGTTTCGAAACAGCCAAAAATCATTAAACGGATGAAAAACAGTTTCGTGTCCGTGGCCAAAGGGTAAAGGAATTCTATGTTAGGCCCCCCTCCATAACTGTGCATGTAACGCGAAGTGATGGTCCTGCAGGCATGGACCAGGTTCCAGCACCTCGTCCTATCCATCACCATAGGAGAGCCAGATGTTCACTGGGGGCAAGGGGGTGCGCTGGGGTAAATATTACCCCCTGTAAGCGACCGAGCTTCATTCTGTCAGACTTGCATAATGCCAAGCACGAATTACCCTGAAAGACGGGAAGCACCCCTTTACCAACCGCTCGTCGACTGGTGGCTCGTGATAAAATTTTGGATTTTACGTCTGACATCTTTTTTATTCGACAACGTCTATTGTTCATTATACAATTTGTAGTGTAACCGTTGGATCGAAAGCCAAACGGCTCTTGTACTTAACCGTCCAGTATGCACTGCAAGCTGTATGCAATATTTCTTTCACTTTCAGGAAGAGTCTCCCATATACACACTGAAACCTACAAAAGGAATACCATACCGAATCTCAAACTATACTGTCTGCCCGTACGATAGATTTATATCAAACAGACGGCATTTGAATCTGGAAGCTGCCAACCATCTATTAACAAAGGAGCCAATAATTTCACGTAGGAAAAACATGTTGGATCTCTTTGCACAGGTTAGTTAAAAAAAATTATTTCTTATTTATTTCATATTTGATAAACTGCTTATCAATGAAGCTTTCAAGCAATGTAGGATGACATCGTGCGTCACGCATGACAAGCTTTGTCAAATGTTTAATCGTCGTTTAACCGTGACTCAGATCACCTGCGGTTTAGCATAAACGTTTTGAGTTATCGCTAGGTTATCTTTAAAAGGCATTTTGATTACGCAAAATTACGAATTAGCATAGATGATACGCGCTTTTAATCGTCGCAGCATCCGCTTTAAGATGAACTATTACATTTTTGTAAGCTATGGGCTGGTCACACACACATATGTAAAGATGATGGCTCCACATATCCTGACCCTGAACACCCTCGATTCCCGTTATTATTTGTTCTCTTATTTTTGTTTATTTTCATATTAAACTGATACGTAACTTTTACCTTTTCTGATATGAAGCATATATTTATGTAAATTATTAAACTAATCACCCAATCCATGAAGGTACGTTGCTACGCTCCGATGTGTTATCATTACACGTCTATGAACATTTCAATGCATAATTCAATTAATACGCTAGAAAATAATTACATGAGTCACAAATTGTTTTACTTATAATCTTATTTTTATTATCCAAGGTGGGATCTATAAAGAGCTCATGGCAGAAGAAATTGATGAAATATACTTTCGAAAAGACAGATGTCATAGGCGGACTGAAGCAAGGGAGATTGTTGACCCTAAGCAAACCTTCAACGTCTGATGGAACCGTTCCTGGTCACCTCATAGGAAAACCTAAGGAGTTTTGGGACGATAATCATGATGATGACTGCATATGGGATTCGCGATCGCGAAAAAAACCCCTGTTGGGTACTGCCGAATTCATTTTGGATGACATAACTTTTCAACCTACCATTCGTATGTTTAAATACATATAAAAAGAATAGTTTGATATCTTCGGTATGTTTATATGAATTTTTATTTCTTGTTATTTCTTTAACAAAGAAAAGAATCTTCTGGACTGGAGCGCGTTGAATATAATTGCTGGCACTGATAGGTATTCGATAACACTATTTCCTATTACCACAAATATTGTACCGGTTGTTCGAATTAAGGAAGAAGAATACGTATCTGCTGTTAAATTTAGCCGCTGTGGTAAGCCCAATAAAGATATCATATGTATACGTGTATAGTGAAGCCTCCATTATCGCAGAACTCCGGGACCAAAAAATATGCAATTATCGAGGTTTCTATAGCGAGTGGAGTCAATCAATGGTACATAACGTCCGGATTCTTCCCTCGAAGAATACCAACACAATATAAATTATGATAAATCAATGAAATTAGTATCAAAAATTTTCTGTTCACAAGTAATTTCAATGTCAATGTTTTGTACAAGATGCCATTTTTCAATTCTCAATTGTAAAAATTGACAAGTCCAACTGCTAAAAAAATTTAGCAGTTTTTTCCCCACCACTTAATTTCAATCTGCTTGGATCCGGATTTACCTATGACTATTGAGATTTGACTATATTGCAATTTACTTTAAAAAATTTCCTTTGATATATGTGATGTAGGTAATAAACTTGCTACAGCTACTTTAAACGCATACGTGTCAGTTCAGCTTTTCGAACCAAAAAAGAAATTATGGAAATCCGTTTGTACATGTGCAGAAGAATTTGATTTATTCTGTAGCGTTAATTGCATTGAGTGGTCAATTAACGATAAAGAAATTGTTACGTAAGTATAGGATAATGTTAATTCATCTATTTGTATAATTTTTCACTTGTTATGCACAAATTGTACTATTGAGCCCTCCTAGAAATTCTATTATGAAAGTTCAGGGTCCCTCAAGATCCTAGCTAAGTCTATATTGGCCCAATGGGATCCTGAACAATCCCTGGACTTAAAAAAAGATTTCCACTAAATAAATATATCTGATATCCTAAATAGTTGTTTACGTTAGATTTTGCGTAGTATCTTTAAACAAATTATACATATGTATGATTGATTGTATAAAATTGTAAACATGATAACTAATTTGATATTGCATTTAAAAAATATTATATTCTATAAATATATTATGTGTTCAGAGGATGTACTGAAGGAAGATTAGTCGTATATAGTGCTTCTTCAGGCAAGAAGATATTACAAAGACAAATACATAGAAGCGAAATTTACACAGTATTATTTTCCATGGATTTTCGATTTGTAGCATCCGCTAGTCGTGATACGACAGTTCGAATTTCTTCTTGGCCCCATCTGTTATCTATAATGGAAATAGGATTTTACTGCTCCCTTCGGGTAAGTTGATTTTACAAATAAAAGTAATGCTTGAAATTTTTCATATTCCTACAATAATGGTATGGTAATTAAAACAGCCTATATATGTCTACTATGAATATCTATTATCTACCCTTCATTCATTATACGTATGTAGGTGTTTAAGACATATGTACGAACTAAAGTCGTCCTGAGTAACCTAGAATGTAAATATATCTTGTGTTCAAAAAAAAAGGATGAAGGATTAGTCTACGTATCCCGGTCATGCTAAGTTCTTTATCAGACATCGAATGGAGATCGAATTAATAATTAACAAAACTCTGTTATTTCAGGCTATTGCCTGGCATCCATGGGAAAATGCTAAGCTCGCAATTGGTGGAGGATCAGGCGATACGGCTCTGACTTTATGGAATGTCAACACAAGGCGATTATTGGGATATCGTCGAGTTGTTGGCTGGGGTTGTATCGATTCTTTATCCTGGAACAAACTTAGTGGAGAACTAGTAGTCAACTGGTATTTTTGGGAAACAAAATCCGCGACGGTAGTTGTTCTTGCGAGTTTAGATCATGTTGTCGACGTAGTTCCTGTTCCGGATAAAACTCGAATTTTTTACACGATTACAAGTCCAGATGGCAAACAATTAGGTCAGTTAACAAATTATATAATACATTATTATTATTATTATGTTATGACCTTGTGACAAATTAAATGATCATTAAATAATCTCATTATAAATACATACACATATACACCTGAGCCTAAAAATGTAGACGGTTTTTCTCCATCGTTAATAATATTAAGATTATCCTATAATATTCCTAGTTCAAAATTAAAACTGATTTTGTCCCCATGAAAATATTAATTCATGAATCAAGCGGATATAAACAGATTAAAAACTCACTATTCCGACAAAAACAATGCAATGTACAGTCTACGGAACAAAAATAATATATACATTCAAAGAAGAGGATATTTTTTGAAAAAAAAAAACGTCTACATTTTCTAATTAGGATATTTATCATACTTTTCTGAAGGTGGATTTGAGTTAAATATTGCGCATGTGATATAGTACAGTACAGTAGAACGTCGATCATTTGAATAATTATAATATGTATTCGGATAATCGAAAATATGTAGTAAATTAATGGAAATCAATCGAATGCCAATTATTGGCAATCAAAAATGTTCCTATAGTGGACGAGCTTATACAATACTCCATAGACGAAAGCACGAAAGGAACACTTTGTAAGCTATTTGGATAATCGATGTCCTACTGCGTTTATATTTATTATACATGATTTTTACAAATTTTGTAGGTACTCAGTTCAACAGAAATTTTAGTGTTTGGAACTTTTTTGGCGATGAGTATTACATTCGACAAAAAACTCATAAGTTCAACGAGAATCATTCAGCAAACATAGGAACTGACGTAACAAAAAATTTTATGTATTATAATATTCGATAGCTACTGCAATATATGGTAGCCCAATTTTCCAGGAAATTACATTTTATATGTACGTTTTATTGGTAAAAAGTTTCGTTTTATACGCTCAGTCCATCAATAAGTAATATAATTTTCAAGGAACCATTCATCTATGAGTTTCAACATACAAAAGTTCTTTAAGCTTCATGTTTTACTTATAGATTGACTACATGGTCAAAAGTGATTCGATTAATGCATTTCTGTAATCATAAATGATGTCAATAATTTTATTTCAATTTACTTTTATGATTAACCTGATATAATGTATTATTAAACAAAATGTTAATTATTTATTATTTATTGTTACTCATTTGTATTTAAATCTTGTATTCCAAATTCTAAACATACCTTATATCTTATGTTCCGTTTTATATAATATATTGAACAACAATTTTGAAATAGTTCATAAGTTCACTTTATCCGCATGAAGCTTTTTAAATTAGATAAAATATTTGAGTACGAATGTGCTATAACAATATTTAGAGATCGTTTACTCTCGCTGTCGTGAAATTAGATTAAGGTCTCCACAAGACTAATGAAAATTAAAAGAGACTGTAGGAAAGTCGTTGATGAATGTAAAGGATCGAACGGGTGTCCCAAGAAAATTGCCTTATGATCCAATTCCATTCACTTGAAACATAATTTACATTTATGTTGGCAGTTTTATCAGTTTCGCCAAACATTTTATTCTTGCTCAGCCTTATATCAATATTGCTTATTATTAGTTAACTTTCCGAAGAGTTAGGAATGCAGTTATCTTTAAGTTATCGTCATTAGAAATGATAGATAATTAGTTAAGAATACGGTAGATTTGTGACGAATGCGCGTGAAGATACCGACACGGAAAGCTACCTCGGCATTCTAGATTTGCTTCAAGCATTTCTGTTGATTCCCACCCTCTCGGCGCATGTGCAACGGGCAGCATATGCGTCTCGGTCGTCTCGACTTCTCAGGCAGCTTAGTTGCAGAACGTTAATTGGCCTAGCGGATGCTGTGTTTATGGCGCAGGAGCCGCCGTAAAACGGTTGCTGATTATTATTAGATATGATCACGCGTAGATCTCGCGATAGCACGCTTATTCGAACAGAATTTATGAAACTCTCCCTGTCGATGCATCTCGATACGGATCGAACCTTGATCTTTTTTATTGGCCAAAGTGCCGAGTAGCTTGCGAACGAATCTTTCCATAAACCACGATTGTCATACTATAGTTCATAATCTATTAAATACCCTTTGGCTTTTGTCCGTTCTATTCAGGACGAATATATGATTTAAGGGATGTAACATGAATTAGCCTGAGAGTAATTAATTTCTGACAAGTTTTTATGATTTACCTATAAATAAAGTAATTAGATTCTCGCTCCCGGAGTTGGCAGAAAAGAACATCCAAGTGCATTAGAGCGTTGCATGATCACATTGCCAATTCTTCGGCTCTGTAAACCCAAGTAGGTGTTTCAACGAGTAGGCCTACTGTCTGGGAGTAAAGAGTTGGACTTTTCTCTTTTGAATATAGCATATGGGTAGGCTGCACCGTTTTACGTTACCTCTTTTCAATGCGGTTCGATCAATTCGCACGATGGCCACGCAAAATAGATTGTGTATCTACGTGCACGTGAGTCTGATTGTAGGATAACGAAAAGTAACAAGGACGGTATTGTTTGCAATGCTTCCCTCAAGTTTGGTTTGTCAATGTGATTCCTTTTAAAAGCGATGGAGTTATTCTTATGACTACCTATATCAGGAACGAACACATAATTTGGGTAGTAAAATTGAACCTAACAGCCTCGTTGCTTTTCTGTCAAACTCGCTTGATTTTAGATTAATGTTCATTTCACTGCTGATTAAAAATTGGCCTACAGTGAGTGTCATGAAATTGCCGAGATCCGACGATAGGAATATCCGACGTAATCTAAAACAGGTCTTGAACTGTGTACAAAGAATGAATAAATCTTCATTGGTGAAAGTGATCATTTCTATGAGTCTGCTGGAACGGTATAGTTTGACTGACCGGTCTAAAAAATAAAGAATTTTTGTATATATAGACTGATTCACGGAATAAACATATGTACATCGATTGGACGATTACAGCATACGTTTTATGATAATGTAGCTTTTAGGGAATATCCGGCATCATCGATGACTGGGATAAAGACAAGGCTTTGTTAGTTTCAGTCGATCAACTGGCAGCTATCCCACAAGCTGCTGTTGAGAACTGGCCTTAGAGCGGCGACTGCATCAAACGTACGGATGGGTGAGTGGCTGGGTGAGATATTGTCCATTAAGAATCTAGAAATACCGCTTTCATCTTAATCCCGTATGCGTTAGTATAGAAGACGCCAGCTTATGCCTTTACACAGGCTTAGTAAAATTCGTACAGCTACAAATCGTGAGTTAGTGCTTCTCAGCTCTGAGGGACCAGATGGTAAATTTATTCACGAAGTGGTCAGAGTGTTGGACAGAAAATTAGAATACAAATTTTTAATTTTATTAATGTAAAATTTAATGCTCTTCAATTATTGATACCGAGATTCCATATTATATTCGTACCCATGATAACGTTTGGCAAATAAAGCATATTCAATGTTAGAAATATTAGTGAGTCACAGAAGTCGCTTAATTATTCTAAAAAAATTAGGGATCTAATTAATTAACACCTTGAAACAATATATCTAATGAACAGTCATATTGTTTATAATATTCTATCGCAAATAAACATTTTGTAATCAGTAATCCTATTTTTTTACTAAATTACTGTATTCGCCTTGTTCTTAAGCAAGTAAAGTCTTAGAGTCATAAATATAATAAAAATATTCTATTTTCGTAACTAGACTATTTAGAACAGTATTATACTTATGTTTCATTACTATATGTAACTTTCCCTTGATAATCCCTCATTCTTAGTACGTATGTAACCTAGTAACGTATATTACTATTTGATATTGTGCGTAGTCTACGTTAATTAAAACTATTGTTTTATTTCAATATCAGTGTCGATTTTTTTATGCATCAAGTATTAAGATCACGATCGAAATTCATATTTGTAATAAAATAATCAGTCTGACAATTTTGTATTATAATCGAGGTAACAAATATGGAGTACGTACATATCTAATAGTACTACACCTGTCAGGATACGTTATGCACTTTTCCTGATATTACTGAAATATAATAAAAGCAATAGTATAAGTCTTGTATTTAGTAAATGGATACTGGATTACCCTTTTTCATACTCCTAGTAACGTCTAAGAGGCTTTATAACATCCTCATTAACAATGATAACAATTCCTTACTGGTTCAGCAAAAAAAATTAAAAGATAAAAGAACAAGTTACTAAGATTTAATAAGACAGAGACGTTGAGTTAAAAATGAGATAATTAGATTCCAACGATGGACTTATATACATATAAGCTTTTATTGATCCTCGTGTTGAAGTAAGTGTTATAAATCATGTTGGAAATTAATGTTGGTTTAATTCGAGGGTGTTTGGACAGGCAACCTCGGAGGTCTTGACTCGAGTAATGAAAACGCGGCGCTCTTACCTTCTTTGTTTTTCAACTTCATTCCTTTTATCACTTTTTCTTCGTTAACGAGCGACAATGGTCTTAGAATCATTATTATTATTATCAAACTCCTCACCAAGAGCAGGCGATCCTCATTCTCATGTTATTAATGTAATTATCGTCTCCGTATTTAAATTGCTACTACTTTTAAGCCTTTGTCGGACAGGGAAAAGTATTGTCGGTAAATAACTCGTCGGATATGGCACAAACGTGTATTTAAATATGCATTCTGCGTTCAGTTATTTAACAGCTAATGGTTTTACTAAAACAGATCTCCGTAATAAATAATTTATCAGCTGCTCTTATTATCCGGCCGACTCCTGTACTTCACGATGTTCACGTTAGGTTTACAGTCTGTAAGGATTTATCCGAATGATGTAGTCTAAAAATCTTTTCATAGTTTATATAATACGAAAATAATTCATTCGTTTTGAGATTGTCCTTTGAAAAAGTCCAGACATGCATATAGTAGATACATATAGGTATTCGTAATTTATTTTTTCTCATTTTTTTTTTATCGTCGAAAGAGTTCGTCGTTCTTACTAAGGTTTAAAAAGAATGAGAAAATAATGTTCCACTCAACTCCAGGTAAAAGATTCGAGATAGGTGTCCTCTACGCGAATATTTCGCAGAGACTGGCAATTTAGTCGCACAGGAGTACATTCTTCGAAGCAAGGAGACAGAAGTAAGACGCATAGTCGGTCGGTAGCCATTGCTTGCTATCTTACGACATTCATCATGGCGACAGGTACACCACTCCGGTCTCTTCTCTTCTCCTCTCCTCTTTGCTCCTCTTCACACTGCATCTCTTCAACCGTTTGCGAAATTGATGAGACGTAGTAGTGAGCATAGAAGTCGTCCGCGAAAAATGGCTTCCATTTTGTGCCAGCGTATGCGCGGCCTAATCGTAGCTAATAGCTGACAATGATACTCTATATAGGTCAGATCTAGATATAGTAGACCTAGGTATAGTATATAGACCTTATAGACAATAGTGCAGAAAACACAGACTCAAGGGAGCTTGCAGTTGGACGAACTATATGTGTATATTATACAGCGTTGTTAACAACTGTAACATCAACTGAAGTTGGCCTATAGATTTAATTACTGTGGTAGAAGCCAACTTAGGTTGAAGTTTCTAAATGATTCTACGTAATGTATAGATATTTATGTTATGCGAATACTCAATGAACGAAAATCTATTGCACAGGCAGTACCTTTCGACACGACATTTGAAAGCGCCCACTATTCGTGATTAATTGGCGTTTTATAGTTATGATAACTAGTAATAGTATCGTAGTACGTGATTGAATCATCATTTGTACTTTTCTCATAATCATTTTTGGGTTGACTCTCTATTACCGATAAATATAAAACAGATTATCTCATTTGACATTCATAAGCACTATATGATCAATAAAATCATAATTCAGAAGTAATAAAGAGAGAACCTTGACACGTCAGATTATTGGGTAAAAAATGCATTCTTTATGCATACAAATATTCTATTTGCATTTACTTCGAGATCTCTGCTGATATGCGAAAATTTCAAACTAATTGTAGGACCATTAAAATCTTTTGTTATTCTCGTATCAGAGAGCTCAATAAAACCTTGTAGTTTATAAAGATAAGAATAAGAGGAATGATATTTGGTATGCCGAA